TGCCCCCGCCAGGCAGAGCCCCTGCTCTGCCCAGGGCATGACCCCAGCGAGGGGCTACTCACCCACGCTCTGGCCCGTCTTACTGGAGGTCTCAAAGTGGTCTGCTTTGATCTCTGAAACAAGGGTCCAGGTTGGCACTTGCTGCAGGTGCAGGATATGGCCCAAGGGCTCAGCTGCCCCCAGAGTCACCCCTCGGGCACAGCTGCTGACAGGGGGCTGGCAGGGACCCAGGGCAGGGCTCCTGGCCCCTTGGTCCAGCTGGCCACGTGCCTGCCCATGTCAGGACATGCTGTGCCCAGGGAGGTCCCTGGTAGAGCTGACGCCTCACCACACACAGAGCCCTGGTGCCACCGGATCTGCTGCGGGCCCAGGGCAAGGGCTCACACACAGATCCATCCCCCGTGCCCCCCACCCCCTGTGCTGCGGGAGCCCCAGGAAGGGCCAGCAGTGGCTGTACCATCAGCATAGTCCTGCACATCATGGAAGTCAATCCCCCGCTTCCTCCTGTCCTCCTCCAGCAGGTCACACTTGGTGCCACACAGGTAGATCCGGCAGCCCTGGGGGAGGGAGAGGGATGGGAGGGATGTGCCCATGTCTTCACCAGCAGCCCCCCTGCCCCACAGTGAAGCTGTGCAGCCCCCCAGCACCCCTGTACCTCCTCGCAGTTCTGCAGCTCATTCACCCAGAACTTGGCTCGCTGGAAACTGCCACTGTCGGTGAGATCTGGGGAGAGAGAGGGGTCAGGGTCTATCCAACACTTTCCTCAGTGCCTGACCCACCAGTGCTGCCACCACTCTGTCCCAGGATCCTGGGACGTCCCCATCCTCCATGCCCTTACCATAGCAGACGATGGCAGCCCGGGCCCCCCGGTAGTAGATGCGGCTCATGGCCTCATAGCGCTCTGAGCCGGCCGTGTCCTGTGGGACACAAGGAAGTGCTTGGCAGGTGACTCTTGGAGATCCATGAGCCAGGGGGTGGCTGGGGATGTCAGCACAGCCCTCGTCTCTGCACTTACCCAGATGCCCAGGGTCACTGTCTGCTCCCCCACGGACATCACCTTGGCCACGAAGGCTGCTCCAATCGTCTGGAAGTGAAGCAGGAGGAGCAGTGGGGACTGGCCCAGGGATGCCCAGAGCATCTGGCCTTGGAACATGGTGAGAACCGGCCCGGGAACATGGGGAAACACACCCGGGGATGTAGGAGGAGCAAGTACGGAAACAAGGGGACCAACCCACAGGCATGGGAGGGACGTGGAGGGGCTCCAGCCCGGGCATGGCAGGAGACAACATGAGGGGACATCGTGCCAGGGATGTGGTCTCACATTGCCAGAGACACGGTGAGGGCACGGGCGGGATACGGGGGGCACCAGCCCGGAGATCGAGAGGGGTGAACACGAAGGGACCACCCTGGGGACATGAGAGCGACGCGGGGGACACCGTCGTGGGTACGTGGGAGGCACCGCGCCGGGGACACGGTGGGGAAACGAGGGGACCGACCCGCGAGTGCCGGAGGGGTGGAGGGGTCCTATCCCGGGGACGGCGGGGGACAACACGAGGGGACACCGTCCCGGGGATGTGGAGGGACACGGCGGAGGAGCGAGGGCACCGACGCGCGGACGGGCCACACAAGGGGCTCATCCCGGGCAGACGCGGGTGACGCGATGCCGCGGAGGCGCCGCAGCAGCACCGCGGCGGCGCTGTCGGTGCCCGTGTGTCACTCACGTTCTGGTAGGGCCCGGCGCGGAAGCGGCCGTGGGCGCAGCGCTCCACCAGGCTGCTCTTACCCACGCCCTCCTGCCCCAGCAGCACCACCTTGGCGTCCACCCGCCGCCCGCTCATCCTCGCGCCGCCGCCGCCGCGGGCGGGGCCGCTCCGGGCGGGGCGGGCCCGGAACCGGGCGGGGCGGGCCCGGACGTGCGC